CTCTAAGTAGACAAAATAAATAAAATAAACACAAACAATTACAGTAAGTCATATAAGGCTGGCATGACCTTGTTAGGACTGCTCCAAGAACTGCGTCTCATCCTCAGAGGTCCTCCCAAATGGAGGTGCTCTTACCAATGAAAAATTTAATCGCATCCATTCCTGATTAACAGTAAAAGTTCATTTTCCTTAATTAAATCCGTGTTGCTGTAGGTAACCAATAAATACTAGAATGAGTGAATAAATGAACGAACAGCAAAGCCATAGCATGTTTATTTTCACTTAAGTTTTCATGACTTCAATTTCTGTTGCAAGTGGCCTTGTGACAAGAGTATGACATTACTCAGAGATCTAAAACATGAGTCCTGAGTTACAAAAAAGAATAGTTTTATTTGTACAGCCCATAAAATTATCGATAAAATCACACTATCATACATCACAGAGACGCTAGAGATACTACTCATGTGTCATTTTTACTTATTTAAAGTGTAAGTGAGACTAACCGCAGTTCTGGATGGAGATTTAAAAATTTCACTCCATTTTTATAGAACGTCTACACTACTTTTTATTGCTTACTATATATCTGTACACAATGAGGGTTCTGCTGGCATTTTTTAAAAGGAACTTTTTTATTATAACAAATTCTATTCTACAAGAATTTAAATTTAAAAACTTAAATTTTAAAAACTGCCTTTACACTACTACCTTTAAAATTCAGAAATATAGAATATATGTACTAATAAAATGACCAATCATAGAACTTGTGAGGAGACATACCCTTTGAGATTACCTAGTTCCACTCCCAGTGGCCTCTGGAGGGAAAACAAATTGCTCTTTGCTAAATACATAACTTGTGGTAAACCCAGAATTTGATTCTATATATTCATATACTTTGTTTTTGTTTAGGTTCCCATTCTATTTTAGCCTGGCAACATGCATACAAACACCACACAATTATTTGTGAGACAGCCAGTTGGCAGCATTTATAAAACTTAATGTTGATTACACCCTAATGAAATCTTGGCTGGGACAACCCTATAAATGTCCTCTTTACTGAGATAATGGAGCCAGCACTGTACTGAGAACTGGAGACCATAAATACGTGATCTGTAGAAGCCAAAGCTGGAGAATAGGAATGGACGTGTTTTAATTTGTTACATGTTATTACTCAAGAATATAAAAATTATGCATGGTTGGATTTTTTAACTTTAGTTTTGCTCTTCTCTTACAAATGGTGAGTCTTTGAACATTCATTTGTCCCTCCACTGGTGCTCAAACACAAGAGTGTCTCTAGGGTATATAATTATGAGTAGGATTACTCGGTCATCAAGTAGATACATCTTTAAATTTACTAAGTATTTGTAAGTTTTTTTCAAAGTGATTATACCAATTTGAATTCCCCCAAAGAGTATATAAAAGCTCTGATATTTGCTATTTGCTTTTTTATTTACAAATCTTTTGTGCACAAATGTATTACTTCTTTACATTCGGACTGGTATGCCATTTAGTTTAGGTGCTCTACATTAAGCCATTGTCGTATTGAAGAGCATATAGACCACTTTCTACTTTTTGCCATGACAAACAGTTCATATAACTCTGTGGGACAGATTCCAAGAAAAATAAATATGCAAGTTAATTAATGTGCATGTGATAGTTTAATTGTTGCCTAAGAAACTAGGCTCACAAAGGCAAAGGAGCAAGCTAAGATTTTAACTGACGTTCAACTAACGACAAAGTCTGTTGTCTTTCATTACAGCACAACCAGGGGCAAATTCGCCATCAGCTGCTCTCCAGGGTCCTCTCTCTGTGCAGTTATCTTTCTCCTTTATGGCACTCTGGTCCGTGAACTCGAGGTGACCTGGCCTCCCAAGTCTCTAACTTCTCAACCCAAGGGCAGCAAGGAGCACTGCCTGGGTGCCAACTCCCTGCCATGGCCTGTAAACTCCCCAGGCAGTAAATTGGGATAATCCTGGCTCACTTCATTTGTTTCCCACCTCTCAGGGTTTATTATCCTCAGTTGCTTGATGGACATTGTCTTAAAAACCATTATTTCACACACTGTGTCCATTTCTTCAGTTACTTCAGGTTGGAGGGTAAATCTGGTCCTTGTTAATACTCTTGGCCAGAAGACCAAGTGCTACTGGCACACAGACTGTCACTGCAGCCTGGAAATAATGCAAAATCTCTCCAGGCTCCACCTCTCATTTATTTCCCAGAAATTTTCCTTGGGGAATTAAACGAGAATTCAAAATATAAATGAAAAAAGCAAATTTCTTGACAAACTAGACTTACCAAACTGATCAAAGACGAAATAGACAGTGGAAATCATTCCAATTCCTTTGGCATACTGAGTGCAAGCTTTTTGCTGCACTTCCTATGGCCAGAACCATTTCTGTTTCAACTGCTATTCTCCAGTTGGCTTGGTGTGCTTCCCAGTGGATACCTATCAGCTCTTGTTTTGTGTTCTACTGTTTTCCAGTTCATTAGACTTCCACTGCTTTCTTCTGCTTTTTCTTGCTCAGGCATAAAGAGCACGTAGGTGTTGCTGTCAGCAGTTTATCCCACCCACTTGTGTTTTTGGATTTACGGAGATAACTTGTCACTTAAATGTTGGCTGTGTGGTTTCATTTTGCTAACTGTTCTGTTTTCCTGTGTGTGTGTAAGAAAATCCAGGGAGACTGGATCATGGCCACCACCACTGTCTTTCTACAATCTTCCCAACATCAATTTTAATTATTTTAATTGAATTTTAAATTAGTTATTGTAACTATATACATTTCTTCAGGACTCTCAAGACACTGCTCCAATGTCTACCTACATCCAAAATCGGTGATAAAAAACTTGATGTCAATAGAATTCTAAATTACCATATGTCAAATCTTTTTCTCTCCTTTTCTTCCATATTTAAAAGCATTTACAACTTTCTGTTTATCTTTGATTTTCTAAAGATTCACCATGCTTGTCTTGTAAATGTATCTTTCTAAGCTCTAAGTAATTCCTTTCAACCTGAAGGCTAGTGTCCTTCCTCTGCTTGAGAAAGTTTCTTCTACACTTTCCTTTACTCTCGGTCTTGGATTTCTAAGTACATGCAGACCACAGCTCTTGTATTTTACCTCAATAGCTCCTCTTTTTCCTTTTTCACTTTGCACCATATTCTTACAGAATTTTCCATTCTACTTCTTCTTGGAGCTCTCTTCTTCACTCTTCAGTGGTGTACATTTTACTATCTACTCCTCTTTTAAGTATTTAGTATATACAATATATCATTTATATTTTCATGACACCCTATTCTCTTTAACAGATACTATGTCCTAACGTATCTGTGTAAAGATAAATTAAGCCTCTTTTAACATCTTTCTGTATACGCTTACTTAGTTTGTTTAGTCTATTCCTTTTGGGTATTGGTTTTCCTCAAATAGTCAGTGATTCATTATGTCCATTTTGGTCTCTGGAATTTCCTATTTGTCAGGCTATGGACACTGTTTAGGTTCACTGTGGCCAGACTCTACTTAGTGGTTGATGGAAAGAAGACCAGAAGAGATGTTGAGAAGCACAATTTGCCAATAGCTGCTTTCCTTCTCAGGGGTCTCGCCATTTCTCTGAGGTTTTACCAGCCACCTGGAACCTTACCTGGTTTCTTCAGGTCACGTGTCCACTCTCAGTTCTCCAGTTACTGGGAAATGCATGTAATACTTACTGGCTGCTTAGCGTATGTGTATGTGGTTCATGAGTCAATATTTCTTTTTTTTTAAAAAACTGTTTATTTACTGAACCTGGGGCAGATAAGATACACAACCAATTTGAAATTTACATCTTTTAATTCAATTTTGAGGAGTTTTTCTCACACACACACACAAAGTTGACATGCAACAGTTGTCCTAAGGTAAAACACAGTCACCTTCAATTGTTGCAAGTATTTTTACCCAAGGTTGAAAAATTGTTTATCCTGAACATGAAAACCTGTAACAAATTTAAATTAATTATATAAAACTCGTTACTTGTAGCTTTCCCCTTGCAAAGATCCAAAAAGAATATACAAGTAACGAATATACATCAGTCCCAACATAATCCTGGATCATCTCCACAGTAAAACCAGATGCTCCTTTAATTTTAAACCTATCGTCAGAGACCAAAAGAAAGTCTTTTCATTTTATCCAAAATAAAATTCACATGTGCCAAAAAAGACCCAAGAAAAACAAAACCCTAGTACTGACAGTGATGTTCGGTACCCTAATTAAACAATGGCCAAAATGCCACTGATCAGAAATAAAATAGTAGCTGTATATCACTGCAATGAAATCCAAGAGGCTTTAACCCTTTGGCATCAGAATCCAGATTCTTCCAATTATATAAATGCATACATCCTATGTCCGAAGAATGGAAAAAGTGGATATACCAGCATTAAAAGAAAAAAACTACGGTTCACTGAAACACCCAGAGAATTGGCTTTAATCAAGACTTCTTACAAGATTAGGCAGAAACCAAAGAAAGGTTATTAGCTGCTTGTGTTATCAATATTAAGTGGAGGTGATTAAATCCTAAGGTTCAAAATAAAAATTTAGGGAGAAAAATGTTGTCAGGTTAAGTCTTATCTTTAAAGCAAAAACAAGATAGACAAGTATAAAAGTACCAACCTGACAGCACACTCCAAAGTCACAGAGCTACACCATTAGGCAGGGTAGAAAATGTCAAGATTTAGATAGTTGTTTCTCATACAAACTCAACAAAATAAATCTTTAGTGACTTGAACTGAAGGATAAGAGATCCAAAGAATCCAGTTATTCTAGTGAAGTACTGTCCCGAACAAACTGCATATTATGAAAACAAAACAAGATATTGTAAGGACGATATGCCTATATTTCATTTATAGTGTTTAAGTTTTGCAAGGACCTGTATAATGGAGGCAGAATTCATATAACAAATTATGCCAATCAAATGTCAAATTTTTACTATAACTTTGCTAAAAAGGTGTTTTTCCCCAGTGTCTATTAATCACAAAGAAACATAAGCTGTGAAGGTACAGTTCAGAAAATAAAAATGTAGAAACTAATGACACTATGAACAAAATGTTTGGTAAACAGTGAATTAGGAGTTTGAGATCATCAGGAAAAGGCTTTTTAAACAACCCTCTGGACTTCAAAAAATCTCTTCAGGTAGTAGATCGGTCCCAATGTCATGGCAACTAAAACAAGAGCTTCAAAGAAGGGCCGGGGGACCACTCTGCTGTTTGTGTTGTCGTTGATTGCTCTGTGTATTCTTTCCCGAACTTCCATGTACTCTTGTTCATGTTTTACAGCTGTCATCGCCGCTGCTAGCTCATTAATCATTTCTTCTAGCTTGTTCTGGTGAGCTTCTGTTTCCATGTCTTGTCCTTTTGGGGCCTCCCCGATATCAGTGGTAAACATCACTATCTTTGGAGTCATGGTGGACATCCTATTGCTAAAACAAAATTTGTATGTACCATCCATATGAGCAGCAAATGTGTACTTCCCACTGGACTCTCGATCTCCTTTATAAATTCCTTTATTATCAGGCCCTGTGATCTCCACGTCGATGTCCAGGAAGCCGCCCTCGGCCACCTCGAAGATCAGGCCCATCTTGGTGCCCGAGGTGACCCGCTCGAAGAAGCACTCCTCGGCATGCGCGTCGATGCTGACGAAGTAGCCAGAGGCCGTGGCCAGGAGGGCGGTCAGGAGCACCAGCAGCTCAGCGAGCGTCACCATGGTGGAGCTGGAGGCGAAGCCAGGACCGGGACTGCGGCCTCCGGAGCAGCAGCCGCTGCCGCCACCGCTGCCTCCTCAGCCGCCGCCACTTCAGCTCCATGAGTCAATATTTCTAATTAGTGCTACAACACTATTCCCTCCCCATCCATGTATTGGGAACACCAAACCTGAATATTCCCAGAGTTGCTCCTGCTTTTTAAGTGCTACTTTTACTTTGTGTACAATATCTTCATCTAATCCAAATCACATCATCTTCCAGTTTTCAGATATTGTTCAACCAATGAAAGCCCTTTTCCTTTCCTATGAAGTTACGAATTTATATATTCTACTTTTAAAGATTTTTCATGGAGGGGAGAAAAGAAGCCTAATTACTCAATTATTTTTACCCTGAAATTATGAACTTTGAAGACAGTATTAGATAATTTTTTATGAATTTATAGATTTCAGTATATGTTTATTAAAATAAAAGAAACACACAGCCATAGCTATTTAAGGTGTCAATCAATATTTATTGTGACATTCATCAACTTTCAGACTCTATAGTGCAGTGTAGATTTCAGGGACTTTATATTAGACAAGCACCAGCCCTGCTTTTTATCACATGTGTGATCTTGAATGAACCAACTTAATTCACTGAGCTTATTTTTTTCCTTTAAGACATGAGTTATAAGCATCTGATACGATGTTTTGCATTTTAGGTGGATAATGAATATGACAGAATATAACATAATTTCTGAGCCATGACACCCTCTTTCTCTTTCTTTGTCCTTCTCACTTTTCTTTGTTTTGCTGTCTGTGACAGATGCCACATTCTCTGCGGCTAAAATATGCTATTGTTAGTTCTCAAAAAGACAGTACAATGAAGACAGGATTCATTTCAATATACTTTTGCTGTTGTTTTGAGCACCTTGAAATGCGAAACCACATAGTAAAACAACTTTGAAACCAGCACAACATTTGTTAATAACTTCTTTTGGGCACTATTGAAATAGCTGAATGAATATGACTCCATTGCTGCTCCTGAAACAATATATTTGCTTTTGTAGTTCCTTGGAATCGTCCAAAATTGCAGTAAACAAGTCAGCACATAGTTTGCTTGAATCAATGTTAAACTTAATTCAACTCTCCCTTGACATTTTTCTGATGTTTGGAGTCAATATGTTGTGATTTATGTTGATGATTTATAGTGTAACTAAGTGTATAGAAAGACACACACATGGTTGTAGGGGGTTGGTCAGGATGGCTTTCTTAGTTAAAAGTAAAAACTAATGAACATGAGAGCATAGATTCAAGTCAGGAAAAAACCCTTTTGTTTTAACAGCTATCACAGAGACAAGTTACACCCAAATGTGGCCAGCTGCTATGGAAGTTTATAACCATCTTCTGTGTATGAGAAAGGACAAATCGAATGGAAATGTTGATGCTACAATGCACAGTCTTGATCTTTAGCCAATTTTTGTGAACCCAACAATTCAGGAATGTTTTTAGCAGTTAAGCTTTGAAAATGTGCTCAAGTTTATACATTATGTTTTCAGCAAATTATGTAATATCTAATGGAAATGCTTTGGGAAAGCTCTGAAACTCCAGCTTGAGAAAAACATACCAACTACACTGTTAAAAGGAATTCAGTAAGGAATGTGGCTGGATCTTTATATCATCTAACATACACATTATCACTAATGGAAAGAACAAAAAGCTAAAGTGCATTTATTACAGAGTGCACCCCGGTTCCTTTGATTTCTTAAAAGCATCACAACTAATTATAAAATTATTAAAGACCTTAAGATTGATCATCTGAATTCTATGAGGGTCATACCTAGACCCAAACAAAATACCTTAAAGCCTCCCTGCTTTTTTTCATCTTACTACTTCCCTTCCCACCAACTGATGTTAAGATTCTCTGCTTTAATATCCACATGCTTTCAACACCTCTGTCCTCGTACCTTGCCTCCCCTCTCTCTGCACTGATCCCTTTTTGCTCCTGATCTATCATAAACAGTTTATCAGGTGAGGCATGACTTTTTCTTGAAGGAAAGGGGAGTCACTAGGGACATACCTGTGTTCGTGTTCTATGCTGTGACACATATGCATGAGAAAGACCAATCTGTCATTATGGGGTTCTTCCTAGGGAATATGGTGAACATATGCACATATTCAGTGCAATCACAGCCTCAGGGCAAACTTAAGGTGGTAGTAAGAGCTCCTTTGACAGATGGGAAACTGAGGCCTGAAGGAATTAGTTACCTATCCGAGTGGCAGAACAGCACTGAGTTCTGTCTGACTTAGCCCATATTCTTGACTACCATGCTCTGCTTCCCTTCTATTAAAAACAAAACAAAGACTATATAACGACACACATACTTCCCAAACATGCTTCTCATCCTAAATACCTTTAATTGAGACAAAATGTGTTCATTTGAAGATGTGTCTGATTCTTGTAAAAGAATTCACTTTTTTTGAGCCAAGAGTATGGCATAAAGCAGTTCATTATACTGGACAATACAGATTTGGATAACGAGGGATGTGTGGATACAAAATAGAACAGCTCTTGTGTGTGATTAATGAGCTGATTCTAAAGGTAAGTCCCAAAATAAAGTCATATGCTAAGCAAAGGGATATTATTGGAATAACCACATACAGTGACTTTTTTAAGAACATACATACCTAAAGACATGCATGCTGATATTTGCCATTGTACTGTAGAAAGAGTAAAGCAATAATCAAACACTCAGGATTTAAAACACATATATGCATATATTTACTTGTATGTATTAATAATGCATGTCACTTCAGTTGCTTTTATCAGTGATAAAAGGATTATGAAGTTAAAAAAGATTAGTCATATAAAGTGTTTAGCATAGGAGTACAGTATTAGGCATATACTAAACATGTCTATTTCTTTATAGTCATGGATTGTATACATTGTGCCACTGCAGAAGATTTGGAATTGTGAAATCAGACTTATTTAATAAAGGATAAAAATGTAGGATACAGTCATTTAAAGTAAATACCTTATTAATGGCCAAATGAACGCAGAAATAAACTTCTCAAGAGACTTTGAAAAACAGCCCCTCAATTAGGCAAAAGCATGAGTTTAAAACCGTCAATAAATCCAGAGCATTTGCACAAAATCTCTGTAGTTTAACAGGATAGCGATTTATCTTTCAGGAAGTGATAGCGTTTATGAATAATGCCATTACCTAAATTGACAGGCAATTAAATGAGAGAAACCAACTTTAGGGGAAAGAAAAGAGACATGGTTTGTTTAAATATGGATGGCCCCAGGGAAGCGAAACAGGCTTGTGACTCTGACCAAGGCTCTGGCAGCGAGAGGTCACACAGTCCCTGCACTTATCCGACCGGCAGGGGGCTCTCAAGGAATGATCCCTAGTGTACTTGCTAAAGCTTGTGCAGAGAAAACTAGAGTCTAGGTTAAAACTCCCAAAAGGCGTAAAGTAGGAGCACACTGGTAAGGTCCCACTAAAAGTCCAGAGCTCTGGGGTGACTCTTACTTAGTGGGAAGGCAAGAGGGAAATCAAGGCAAGGTGCAGGCCACGGTGGTAAGGAGTGGTGAAATCCAGTAGGCCTGGCAGAGGAGGTGATTGGCTACTGTCACCCAGGCCCCAAGGTGAGGGTACCCCACTTACAGAGAGAGAGGCTGACCAGGTGCTAGATGTGAGGCCCCACACATGGAGCACCCTGGCTGGCCTGCGGGGGCCAAGGCAGGTGCAGGCCCAGTAGGTCTTTGTGCCTGTGCACTGATGTCACCCCCGTGGCCCTGCCTGGTTGCCCATCTCCAGAGAGCATGGGTAGTCACAGGTAAGGGAGCCACCTTTTGGGGACACCAGTTGCTGGTGTCGTTTAGTGGCCCTTGGACTTGCTGAGGTGGCAGGCCAGTTAGCTTGCTGGGAAACTGCTCCCCTCTCTGCTGTCAAGGTGGAGGTGGTGCTTCACTGAATTTAGGCATTTAGAGGTGAGTGAGGTGTATTTGAAATGGAATAGTAGCTTTTAGAGCTCTGTTTATTTCTGTTCGTATGAAAAAGGTGCTGAGCCTAAAGACTTGAGTGAAGGTGGCAGGAATTCTAAGAATATTTATGTCCTTGCATTTATGTTCAGGGAAGTGATTCTGAAGTAATTTTTTACTCATGTATGAAGTTGTTGAGTAAGTCACATCAGTCATGTCGAGATGAAGTGATGTAGTAGAAATAAAGACCCTACACCTTGGCCTGATACATAGGAGACACACCATTGGTGCTCTTTGCTCTCCTGTCCTGGTTTATTACCTTAACTAACTTTGTGGTTCAGAGTGGTCCCAGCCACATTTCTTTCTACAACTGCATAGAAACACTTGGCAGGATATCCCCAGAGGCTAGTGGAAAAATTATTCTTTCTGGTCACTGTTTGCCAGTTGTTTTCTCTATGCCATGTTCCTTTCCTATTTTTGTATTTCCTGTCATTGTAGACTGATAGGGGCGATGGTGTGCATCTGCTAGACAAACCTCTGGGGCTGTTCGGGGTCTGTGCTTCTGTGGTGATGGCAGTGTTCTTACCTTAGACATAGCTTGTCCTCTGACGTATTCATGCGGGGTTACTTCTCTTATGCAATCAAAATTGTAGGAAACCCATTAGGTTTTTATGTTCTCACCCGATTTCTTAGGCACATTATATATTCCTTTTTAATAGTAAGCGTAAAGCAACAGATCACTTTTCATGTTCACCTGCGTCATTAGCTATAAAGAATCACATCAACATGTAAGTTTTATGAAATTGTGGAGCATACCAGTGTTCTAGCTTTGAATGATACTGTGTGATCGCTCAAGAATCACTTACATCTGGCACACAGTGTACTAACACCTACCATCTGCAGGAATGTTTGCCAGTTCTAATTTGATTTTTTTTCACTGTTTGCTCACTTTCACCTATGAGCTGATGTTTGAATATATTTTCGACATTTTCTGATTAGAAAATATCGAGATGAAACATAGAATCTCTTCATGGTCACACGTTCTGTTCTCATTATTGTAATCTGAGTATTTGAGTTACAGACACTCGATTTT